TGTTGGGATTGATAATTTCTTTTATTTTGGTTTTGACTTTTGTGTAATCTTTGTTCGATCTGAATAAAATGTTTCATAACAGCCTTCTTGTTGTGCTACAAATTTTAGTTTACTAGCATTAGTAATATCATACCTAGCCAATGTCATAAAAAGTCTGTCTGGCAATTTTTTCATATTTACATCTTTAACTGTCTAATGCTACTTTATTTAATTTAGTGGGGTACAGCTCCAGGATGAAATCTATCCTCCTGATGTACGGGCTGAGTTCAACCGTGTTGTTGACAGTCACACCGGTTATATATTTTTTGTTGTTTAAAAACCTCGCAACCTGAGCTTCGATAGCGTGTTGTAAAAATTGAGGTTTCCGTTCGACACAAACCGACACTGCGATAGCTGGTTTAAAGAACCGTATATTGTTATATCCTAACGGCTGCGCCAATAACAAATTTGGTATTTAACACTTCGAAAAAAATATAAATTTCTTTATTGATCAAAATAGTGTAAACACGAACTGGGAGAGATAGGTCTGCTCCTTTAAAGATTCAACTTAAAACTCGAACTTATAAACTACGCTGACGCTTATCAAACCTTCGATTGGGAGGAAGAACGCGATTGATAAATTGAGAGTGTCCAAATTGAGAGCACTGAGCATGAGAGCGATATAAGTTTGAGCTGCGTCTGCAATTTTTACAGTATTGGGGATACAAGCTTTTCAGAGTTTGGGGACATTTGTTTATAACGCGGGAGGATGTTTACATTAATTGGTCACTCGTGGAAGCCGATAATTTGGGGTTATTTCATTTGTTTATAACGCAAGAGGATCTTTATATTAATTGGCGACTCTAATGATGACAGATGGTTGTCTCAACGCCTTCCCTGATGAATTTGTGGCTGCTCCACAGTCGCTCTCCGCTGCCTCGTTGCTCGCTGCTCCGGAACGCCTCCGTTGTCTTTGGCCTCGGGGCTATGAGGGTCTAGGGATGCGTTACCGTTCCCAGACTAAGGTGAACAGGCACTGGGCTCTCAAAGCATATGCCTTTCGCAGCCACAGCCTCCTGTCTCTGTTTCTTTCCCAGCCGGACACACCAGACGCCTACACAGTTTCTACCTGACGGTTCAGGCATACGCCGGAAGGCCGCCAATGCAGTCCCTGTGGCAGGACGCTAGGTTCAAGACGAACGCTTCCGCCCTCGCCTTTTAGCCGTGGACTGGATACGTCGGAGTATGGCTTGGTTGTTGCAGGGCCCGCGATGACTGCTCGTCGTTTCTTGTGTCCTCTATGTCCTTGCTCTGCTCACGGCGCTATATCCTGGCTCCGTTGTCTGCGTGCTCTTGTGAGACTAGTGCAGCGGGTCTTTCGCTCTCAGGATTCGGTCAGCTGCCTGTCTAGGACTACGGTGAACTACTGTGCTCTCGACGCATACGCCTCTCGAGACACCCGTGGTTCGGACGCGTGTCCTTCTTGGCTAGTCGCACCAGGGCCTGCACAATTCTCGCCTGCCGGTTCAGGCGTACGCTGGAATTCGACCAGGCAATTGTTTTCGCACGGCAGCTGGTTCTGGACAACTTCCCTTCCGAGCCCAAGGTTCTTTGTCGAAGGACTCTTTTTATTCAACTCTGTCGGACTCGCCGAGACATACGCCAAGCTCAAATCGCGACAAGAATCAGAACAAAGCGCCTGGACTTAGCCGCGTGATGCCTTAAGGACCTCTGCTACCTGTTTCTCAGCTCGGAGACTTCGACTCTAAGTCCCGAACGTCTTGATGTAGCGATCTTGCTCCAAACTCTCTCCAGCTGTATTCTCCAAACTCTCTATTATTTGTGAGGAGTTATTTAACTCCTCACAATTCCTATAATGCATTTATTTTAAACTTCATTTTTGTATTAAAGTTTATGTTATTGGGAATTTATGTGTTGGACAATTTTTATGTGGATTCCACATTAAAACAAGAATAAACGCTATAGTCGAGTGCATCGACGTCACAACATTAACACGCGCTGCGTAAAAAAAAACGTTGAATGTATAATCTTCTTCTAAATCCTAAATCGCTAGCTCTTGTAGTTTCCCTGATTTCGAAATCCATACGGACGGACGTTGAACACATTTTTTTTTTGTTAAGTTTTTTTTTGAATGATCAATCAACTTCGGCTGCGTGCAGACGTGTTTTCTTAACGCTCCGGAAAAACAAGTAGTCAATCAGTCGAAAACGTTCGAAAAATTAATAAACGCGAGGTTTTGCGTTTCGCGATGCAAATCGCATACGTAATCTAAAGTTTTAATTAATTAAATAATTAATCTTTACGCACTAACGATAAACAAATGAGTAAGAACGTGGATCAGCGCACTCAACGACAAAAACAACAAGACGAAGCCCGTGAAAAATTTCAGAGAGAGCAAGACAAACGTCGTTTTTCTTTGGCCCGTAACAATGCTTATTTTACGGTGACGAGTAATACTCTATAACCGAAAGTGCTTGAAGGTGCAGAGAGAGAGCTAGCTCTTGCTCACCCGCCCTGATCTTTACCGCTCAAACGCCATGGAGTAAGCAATGCAAGACTCCAACAGAGCTTCTGCCGCCTAGCGCAACAACAACAGCAACTACTACGACTACTACAACGGTCTCTGTCGCCAACAATGCAATAACGACTCCACCCTCTTCTTGTGCTGCAGGTAAAGCAACAACACAAAACAAGTGCAAAAATCTGTGCAAACGGCAAAAACAAAGCTACGGTAGAAGAAGTGACAATTCTGCAAGCGGGTTCGGCCATGCAGACAGGCATGGATCGCTACATTAATATCTCCAAGCGCAAGCTAACACCGCCAAAAATAAATCGTTCCAACAAAGGCCCTGAAAATCCCGGGCTATTAAATGAAAATAGATTTTCCATTCTGGCGGAGCCTGAAACAGAGTCGGAACAATTAGCCCCAAGGAAACTAAAGCCCCCACCTATTTTTATTCGGGAGAAGATCTCGAATGCCCTAGTCAACAAAATAGTTGAGATTGTCGGAAAAGATAAATTTCATGTTATTCCGCTTATGAAAGGGAATATAAGTGAAACTAAACTCAAAACCAAAACCGAAGACGATTTCTGAGCAGTGTCGAAGTACTTAAACGATGCCAAAAAGAATTACAACACGTACCAGCTGAAAAGTTGCAAAGGTTTGCTCAAGGTGTGCTCAAGGGAATAGAACCCGATGTGACCCCCTCCGAAATTACAGAGGCCTTAAAAGAAAACGGTTTTTGAGCAAAAAATGTTATAAACATTATGAACAAAACAAAGAAGCCGCAACCACTCTTCAAGGTCGAGCTGGAGCCAGACAGCAGAACTTTAAAAAAAACGCAGTGCACCCGATCTAGAAGTTTCAGTACCTTCTGGACCGTAGGATCACAGGGGAAGAGCCGCACAAACGGACCGGGCCAGTGCAATGCACAAATTGCCAGGAATACGGTCATACCAGGCTTACTGGCTTACCCGCTAACCCTGAATAACACACCACTTCCACAAGCTGACGATGTAACATACCTTGGCATCCACCTAGACAGGAGACTTACATGGCGGAGACATATCGAAGATAAGAAAATTCACCTAAAACTAAAAAACGCGCGCTTATAAACTTATAAACGCGCGCTCCCCCTCTGCCTGGACTTTAAGGTCCTGCTCTACAATTCAACGCTTAAGCCAGTCTGGACCTACGGCTCCCAATTGTGGGGAAACGCAAGCAGCAGCAACATCGACATTATTCAGCGAGCACAATCAAAAATCCTGAGAACTATCACTGGGGCACCTTGGTATGTTCGGAACGACAACATCCACAGAGATCTTGGCATTCTACCCGTAAAAGATGAAATATCAAAACAAAAAGCGTCTTACCACACCAAGCTAACTTCTCATCCAAACCAGCTCGCCAGGGGCCTAGCCAGGCTTTCCAACCGGACCCGATTGCAACGCAATGACCTTCCAGCTCAGCAATGGTTATTAGAGCCCCTAAATCTCGCGCCAGTCGCCTTGACTGTCAGATAGTTTTTTAATTTAAGATTCTATATACTTATTGTTAGTCTCAATTCAGAGAAGATCCAATAAATAAAATGCAAAATGTTAAAAAAAAAGTTTTTTTTATAATTTAATTTAATAAGATCTTTAGGAATATATTTAAAATTCGTTAAAGAAATATTGAAGGCAATAGTAACTTGGAAGTTCAAATACAAAATTTTATAAAATATCAATCGGATTGAATAAAATTTTAAAACCTATAAATTATAACCATTTTGAATTAAGTAATACCTGATTTTAATAAAAAAAATTGAAGACCTAAAATCGAGATGTCATAACATTCCTCAATCATTGGCGGCGACTTCAACGCTTGGGCTACTGACTGTAAGCACTGTCACCAACTTAAGAGTCTACGTTGTTTTGGATGCCTCTGCTGGTCTGGACATGGAGCTGCTCTATAGTGGTGCCGTAAACAGTTTTTTAAAAAAAAACAACGAGGATATATTTTTGAAAATTTTTTTTTTGTTGGATAGCCTCTACATTGCTGTTTATGTATGAAACGCCACTTCGTTCATATGGCTGCCTCGGCTGGCTTTACAGTAGCCCATTCGGTCGAACAAATTTTTAAACACATTTTCCGGGGGGTAAGGAGAAAAAGCTTTGACGACTGCTATTTTAATTCTATATATTAATATTTAAGAAAAGCACATATAAAAATAAAATTTAATATACTAAAAAATATATTTTGTTTTTGTAATCTATTGTTTTTAAAAAAACTGCAATTATATTGTGAATTGAATAAAAACTGCATATTTTGGTTTTGATTTATCGCTCCTAGGATAAAATTTAATATACTACTAATTATATTTTGTTTTGGTAACCAAATTTATTTTTAAAACAAAACAAAAAACATTGCAAATTGTGTAAAAACTGAACGTCATCTCCGGTTTTTTTATCCATTTACCATCTTAAAGCGTGTATTCTTTGGTTCTAACAATTTATTTTAGGCTAGAGCTACATTCTGAAAGTGGAAATAATAAACCAGAATTGATATTTATGGACCAAGTAGAAGATATCTCATCCGATTTTGTTCTACACAAAAACGAGAATTGTATTCAAATTCGGATCAATGATGGTAGCCGAGATGGAAGAATCATTTTGACAAACTCAGTAAGATGTAATACGTAATTGAAACATTTTGACGAAATAACATCTTACTTTACTTTAGGATGAAATAGGCTTAAAAGAATGGGCATCATCTTTAAGATCAGCACACAAAATTTCACAGGACCTTTTGGGATCGATGGCTAAAAAGGCTGGAAAAATCTATGGCAGTGAAAGAGACGGCAACAAATCCATGTATATTCTCGGTGGAAACAGTTCAACGAAAACTTCTAATGGATCTAATTAATATATGTTTATATTTTGAATTATAAGCTTCAACATTTCTGCTATCTAAAATGTTGGGGTAAGCATATGAAAAGAAATGTGGAGAGGTCATTAATAATAATTATTTCGGCTTTTATTGGGATAAATAAGTTTGTAGGAATAATCTTGAGCGACGTAAAGTTGATTATATATTCAATTTTAAAACTATTTTATCGCCAGACTATTTTTTCCTATTTTCTCAGCAGGTATTCCTATTCCGAAAAAGGGCGGTTCTTTGACCGCCATTTGAGTTTGTTTTTGACTCATAGTAATTGGAAAAATGCTATTGATAGCCACAGATGGTAGTCGAAAGGTTCAATTTATATACCCTTTCTGAGAGAGAGTATTATATTTTGCTCAGGTGTTTGTAACGCAGATCAGAGGAAGTATTTACATAATCACTAGCTCAGGTAAAAAAACAGAGATTTGGAATGTTGGCAAACGTCTTCCCTTGATCAAAAACGGCTAACTACATGATATAACTGCAAGAGTAATTAATATCAAGAGTGCATTTTGTCTTGAAAATTATAGAGTGTTTTTAAGGAAGTAAGTACGAATATTTTGTGATTGGAAATTGGTATGTAAAAAAATAAGAAACTCTCTGGACGAGTGCCACGACTACTTGTAAAGTAAGTTATTATTCGGAAAATATTTGTGTTGATAAATATTGACTGTGTAAGTATTCTATTGCTAGTTTTGACATATTCGGTCCAATAACTGGCCGCTACAAGGTCTCTACAGAGTTTGGTGCGGGGATACAGTGGGCGTGGCAATAATACACTTGCGCCGCGTAAGAAAATCTTAAATCTTTATGCTAAATCCCAAATTTATAGCTCTTATGGATTCCGAGATCTTGACGTTCATACGGGCGGACAGACGGACAAACGGACGGACGGGCAGAAGGACATGGCTTAATCGACACGGCTATTGACTAAGAATATATATATATCCTATAGGCTAGGAAATAACTGGAAGAGTTTTCTCTGAGCGTCGTTAAATGAATCTGCATTTATTCATTTTCGATAGCCAAAATGAATGAGAAAAAGCATCAGACTGGTTTGCTTAAGAGGTTATCTTGAAGCACGAAAAAAAGCCTATTTTCGTGAATTTTTTTAAAAGATCTTACGACAATTTCAAAAGATTCATTTATTGTACTTTAATGTTTAATGTTTGACCAACATTGTATAAAAATTTGAACCAAAAATTTTAAAAATTGAGAGGTTGAGGCAGTCTTGAACTTGACCACATAAAAAATTGTGTCCTTGCGGTAGGCAAAATATCTCCGTCAATTTTTATCTGAAATCAAAAAACCAAAGTTATTCTGATAGTGTATGTGTCTGGCTGGTCCTCTACGAGCCATTTTTTTTAAAATTAAAAATTGAATTTTTTGTTGCGCTTTTCATAAAAAGTGTAATTTTTTACGTAAATTTTGAACATATTTTGGCTTATAAAATGAGTTGTAATTGAAAATAAAAAAAATACCTCCGTTAAGGACAAGAAAAACATGTCTAAAATAAGTGTGCAAAAGCAGAAGTCGAACGGTGCAATAGTTTTTGAGAAAACGTGACTATCGACTTCAAAAAAGTGGTTTTGAGAAAAACGCATTTAAAGTGCCGCATCTGCTCGACGCCAGAGCCCGAATTGCTAGTTGTGACTCATCCGTACGCTGGGCTTTAAATTTCTCCCATTCCTACAGTTTTGCTTCGATCGACTTGAAATTTTCGGATAACATTCCTGACACTTTGTACTATTATATAAAAAAGTTTGAAAAAAATGAATTTTTTGAAGTGTCAAGACCCAGATAACCCCTTAAGGGGGTTCTAGTCTAGAAATTTGAGAAAATCTAAAAAATTTTTTTTACATAATTCGATAGTTTTGATATTCAAAAATATCTCCCTAAAAGGATTTTTCAAACTCAAATTATTTTAAAAGTTATAGCCGTTTTATTGACGTGGCAACTAGACCGGTTGAGCGAACGACTGGAACAATAAGTGGCTGGAAGCCTGGGCTACCTTAGTATGAATATCTTTCTTTCCTTCTTTCTAAAACAATACCCTTATTTCCAGTATACTACACTAATCGTTTGAAGGTCATTGTATGAAGCTGGGATAGCTGATTAAGGGAATGTAATATATACGTAATATTCTATCAGTTACGCTGCCCGAAACTTAACTTAAAACTTTAAGCGCGTTTTTCTCGAAACTACTTTTTTTGATGCGGTCGCCACTATATCTCAAGATCTAATCAGTCGATTTACTTGAAACTTGGCATGAATATTCTTTAAATAAATCTCTATCGCCGGAACCAACAAAAAACAAAAATTTTAAATTTATATTTTTAAAAATTCGACAAAATGGAAAAATTAGTGAAAAAATCGAAAAATTCTTTGAGTAGCCGCCATTTAATGAAAAACATTTTTTTTTGGTGCTTCATGCCATAGCGACATTTTACTCATTAAGAAACTATCATTGTTTTATTTTTCAAATAACGACAAGCATAGAAATCATGGCGACGAGGACACGGCCTCTTTTTTTCCCCTCTTCAAGAACGAATAACTTAATGAAAATTTTGAAATTTATTTTATGTGCTCCTTTAAATTTAATAAACAAATGATAAAAAACGGATGGTAAAAATATCTATTGCTTTTTTTTATTAATTGTTAAATTTAATTTCAGTCAAAAGTTTTCAACGCAGTGAAGTAGACATTTCCGACCCTATAAAGTATTTTCTCGATCAGCATCACCAGGAGAGTCGATCTAGCCATGTGCGTCTGTCCGACCGTCTGTCTGTCTGTCCGTCTGTCTGTCTGTCTGTCCGTCTGCCTGTCTGTCCGTCTGTCCGTCTGTCCTTCCATCCGTTTCTACGCAAACCAGTCCCTCAGTTTTAAAGCTATCTGCTTGAAAAGTTCTCAAAAGTTGCCTTTTGTCGGAACGAGCCGGATCGGGCGACCATATTATATAGCTCCCATTGGAAAAATGTAAAAAAGTATAACTTTGTTTTTAATTTTTTTATGTTGTTTTTTTCGGATTTGGTAATATTTAAATACTATGGAGTTACGGTTTTAATTAAATTAAAATCGGACATCTATGTCATATAGCTCCCATAGGAAAATCAAAAAATTTAAAAAAAATACAAATTAAAAAAATATATTTTGCTGATTTTCTTTTTATCAAAATATTCCTTTGAGATATATTAATTAATATCAGAATTACGCTTTTAGTTTTATTAAAATCGGACAGCAATATCATAGAGCTGCCATAGAATCGATGGCAAGCTGCAGCGCAAAATCGACATAGTAATGATTTTAGTAATATTGGTATAGAAATCGAAATGTAGTCGTTTTGTAAGAACTGCAAGGGAATATAAACTTCGTCTTGCCGAAGTTTGCTTCCTTTCTTGTTAAAAGGTATTCCATTTTTCAGAAAGGCTAGATCTAGGCTTAACTGGCAATACTGCTTGTATATATGTATAGAGTCTCACCACCAAACTAAATTTAACTAAGATCCGAAATCAACTATGAGCACTATGAGCTTTCACGCTCACCAAATGCATTTGGATACACACACACACACTTGTCATATGGAAACTGCATAACGATAAACCTCAACCTTACATCGTGTGGGGTAAATGGCCACTTAATCTTACACTTAATATTACGAATAAACCTAAAGAGATTTATCACTGCAGTTTTGTGTATTATGTTACTATAGACCTAAGGAAACTATCATTAGAAACTATCATCTTCCAAAGTCTATCTGTTTAGGCATATCCACTTTTAAAGAGAGCTTCTCCCAAATATGCTGTATATTTGCCTTACGTTCCAACATCGCTTTCTTTTCGCATGGATTAGCAATTTTGGCATTTATTGATGCCCATCTTATATCCAGCATTTAAGACAAACTCAAAAAATTGCCAGCAATTCAAGGGGCTCACGCCATATTTTAAATTAAGCATGATTGGCGAAAACTTAAAGCACTTAAAAACACTTGAAGCACAGCACAGATTCCCACGGCGCAAACGTAATGGAAGATGAAAAATGAAGTCGGGGGCGTCGTGGTATAGATCAATGTATTTAGTTCAGCTGCATACAAGAGACTAATTAAAACTTAAAACTAAAACCGCGCTCCCGCCCGCTTTATTCCGTTCAAGCGAGAGCGGGAGATCGGCAGCGGCCGTCCGAGGAGTTCGGATGCGAAACCCGAAGTTCGCACTCTGGAGCGCGGACGTTGCGAGAGGCGAGCGAGGGAGCGCAAGAGGGGCGAGAGCGAAAGCTCGGAGAGCTCAGTGTCCAGCGCCAATGCAGTGGGCCACTGACCTAAACATTCCGCCCCCCTTGCAACTACTCGGGTTGCAACATAGCCTGGTTGCTCTTCTCACGGCTGGTGACAGGCTCCGGACACGACCCACCCAAACACGGTGCTCTGGGCCACTGGCAATCCATCCTGAATTTTCAGGAAGCCCGGCCGCATCACACTCGGATACATATCCGCGCCCAGGATGATGGAGATCGTCGCGGGGAGATAAAACCGCTCATCAGCCAGCGTAATGTCCCGGAAGTGGGTCCTTACCGCGTCGCTCAGCTCCCGGATTGGAGTGCGGATGCGCACGTGAGGCTCTATTTTAAAAATTGCGTCGAGCCGGACAGCGCTGTCGATTTTGGACCCCACGGTTGCCGAACAAATCTGTTCGCCTCCCACGTTGGTGGTCGGCAAGCGGAAACTCGACGCTAGCGAAGCGTCGATACAGCTCATAGGCGTACACGGGTCGATGAGCGCCGCAGTGTCGAAGACTCGACTACCGGTCTCTAACCGCACCAAAGCCGTCGGTAGGAGGTTGACGCTGTGCCGCTGTAGGAGGGACGTTAAGGACGGAGCGGTGACCGCAAGCTGCGTGGCACCCCGAGTAGCAGAAAATTGCCGCGGAGTGTCAGATGAGTGCCGTGGAGTGGCGGACGAGTGCCGAGGAGCGGCTGAGGAATGCCGTGGAGTGGCGGACGAGGGCCGAGGAGCGGCTGTAGAATGCCGTGGAGTGGCGGACGAGGGCCGAGGAGCGGCTGAGGAGTGTTGCGGAGTGGCAGCGGAT